TAGTTGTATTCAGCACTCAAGGATCCTTTTTGTGTCTACTACAACTAGAGTCATGAAGACAAGACTTAGCAATACTAGCTTCTATCAAGGCATTAACATTTAGATCCAGTACATTGTAGATAGTAAAGTTTGTTTTAGAAAGTAAAATAACAAAAATACCGAACTCCGAGGAAAATTCTAAATGATTAAGCAGATGGCAAAATCAAAAGCTCAAATACATCAAACGAATGGATAACAACTGTCATATTCCTGACTTGGTACAGGCATTTGCTTATGTAGAAAATGGGGGATTAAACCTGGTTTAATTGCTAGCTAAACCTCTCAAGTGTATGACAGTCGAAACATTAAACATCGATAACTTTGTCAAACTTAACCTTCAACATTATCAAGACACATCACCAAGGTCTAATTGTTAAATTTTATTATTTTTATATTTGACTGAAAAAATAGACTGAAGCTTTTTTGCGTTTAACATATAAATTCAGTCTGGTTTAAAAGTTTATTATACATTGATGAATTTGTCAAACCGTCATGAAAATTTAACATGATTTTTAAGAAAGTTGCTTTAGGATTAAGAGATAGCTTCTGTAGCCAATTTGAAAATATCCTTTTACGAACTTTTCATGAAAAAGGTGGGGTTTGTTTGAACGAAAGGTCAAGTTCAGAATTATTATTCCAAGGTCCTAATTACTTAGAAGAACATTTAGAATGTGACATTTAAATCCTTAAATGATATAGCAGATACCTTTATTTTTGTTTCTTATTACTACATACTATAACATTCATCCTTAAGGTTTAAATACTTTATTAAACAGAGTAACAAATGTTCTTTGTTTGTGAGTCTATTCCCTGGAAGGAGTTAATTAATGGTTGATGTGATCTGTTTTATAGTCTTCTATTTGTGGTAGTTCCTGATATCATTGTTATGTTCAAATCATATTAGTATATATTCCTATAATAGAAGTTGCAAAAATGGACAGCTACCTGATCTGTACTTGAAATGCATTCATGCTTGTAACTTCAATACTTCGTTACACAATGATTACAGGGAATCTTAACGAGCTTGACTTGTTAAGAGGTCAGGAAGCCACAAAACATGTATGCATTGTCACATATTAAAAAGTATAGTTCAAAATAACATGGGGTAATTGTGGTAAAACGATAACGACAATGTGTGGTTTTTCAAAAAAATTATCAAACAAACCAGAGTCTTTTTAAAAAAAACATGAGTAGAGAAATATATAAAATTATGTAATGAATAAATAAAGGAGTAAGTTCAGTAAGGGCCATATTCGGCTCCGATTATTAAGTTCAAGGTTTCAAGATATAAAATTGTTTAAAGCTAGCTAAACTTCCCACTTGTATGGCAGTTGTTTATAGTTCCATTAACATTATATTGAAAAAAATGGGTAAACAACCCAAACAGACATAAAAGGTTGATATGAAAACTGTGTAAACACAGACATATAACACAATTGACTAAAAAATTTAAACAAACATACAAATTAATCTAACAGATTACCAACAAAATAGGTATAGTAAATAATAATAACTCATCATAGATATTGGTTAATAAATCCTAATTGGAAAATCCAGCTTACAATAGGGGCCATTTTAGGGCCTTATCGAACCTACTCATTTAATAGCATACACCGTATTCACAGAAACATAACATGTGTACTACAACTGTAATCTTGATTATTATATTCCTTTCAAGAAATTTTCTGAAAACGTGAAAATGATTGATGGTGATTATATGGTAGTTTTATATCAGTTAAAAGATAGTTTGGTTACCAATTAAAGAGGCAAGATGACAGTTGTTGTCCATTCGTTTGATGTGTTTGAGCTTTTTATTTTGCCAGTTGATAAGGGACTCTCCGTTTTGAATTTTCCTCAGAGTTCGGTATTTTTGTGATTTTACTTTTTATTTTATTCTAATACCATGGGCATTGCTCTATCACAAAGGTATTGGATTTTTTTTTTCTACAATCTTTTTTCCAATGGGTACTTATCATGCTCACCTATTCTGACTTATTTTCTATTCATCTATAGCAGAATTTATACAAAACCTTCTGAAATACAACAATAAAAAGCCTCTTGAAGAATTCTTTAATTAACGTTCATATATGCATGGTATTGATAATGTTCTGTCACTCAATAACCCAATATTCAGCGTGTGATAGCATCTCATATATTCCAGTGAACTCTTCAAAAGACTTCAAACTAGGATCAATGAAAAACGTAATGACTTCAGATTTCAGTTAAGCAAAAGCTATATATCTTATTGATTGTAAGTGTGTTCCTGCCGGGAATATCCATGGAATATTTACCACTGGACGTTAAGCAAGTAACAATCAATCAATGAATGTACTGATAGATAAACAGCAATACATTTTTCTGTACAGGTACAACATGGAATGAATGGCCAGGCAAACTTTTATGAAGGTAGCATGACCCTTATTTAATGGTTAACTCTTTTCTTAGCTCACCTTGCTCAAAGCACTACAAACCAGTGAAAGTCTGAAATGGCCTATATCTGTACTCGACTGTACTAATTTTTACTCGACTAGTCTGAATTGGTCTGAAATTTACTTGATATTACTCGACTGTAGTCTGAACAATACTTAACAGTCTGAACTTATACTAGACCTTTACTCGACCAGTACTTAACCATTTTAAACGTGTCTGAACCATACTCGACATAGTCTTAACCATTCTCGACCAAGTCTGAACCATACTTGACCCATTCTGAACCATACTCGACCTAGTCTTAACCAACTTAGACCTTTTTTTTGTATCTATCTATTGTATTTCATCAATTTAGGAACTGTTATACATACATACATATATATATATATTTAGACTTATTTATATTTTTTCGTTTGGGCTTGTATTATATTTGCCTTCGTGTTTATATGATCCGTTCATCCTATTTCGACTCTTTAAAATTCAAGAGTCTATTCTAAATTGAGGTAAATTATATGGCCTTCCAAATACCGTTTCGATTCCTAACATCACTGAAAAGACATTAATTGTCGAAATCCGGATATGGTGTACAAGTTTTTGCACCTCATGTTTGCGGTATACCATCTTTTCCGCAAGTTTATTGTTTTCTGTTTGGTATTAAATTAATAATAAAGATCCATTTTGTTACATCTTGTGATCCGTTTATTTGGCAATCGCCAATGGCAGTCAGCAGGGTTTAAGAACATCCGTTGTTCGACCTGTTAGTCAAATGCATTTTGTTTAAATATCCTTTTTCACTTTTTTGGTCTTTTGGAAAATGTTGTTTGTGCTGTATTTAGACCCCTCTACCAAGAAACTTGTTTTGCATGCACACGTTTAAAAATTGCGGTTTTTATCCAACGCAATCATAGGTTTGAACGTTGTTTTCAATTTAGACATATTTATATATATATATATATATACAATGTATATCACCTTTAAAATTAAAATAAAACAAGGTGATCAAAGTAATTAATTTCTGATTGGATTAAAAAAATATCATGTAATAAATACTAGAACTTTCGACCATTATTCAAATATCTTAAATGTTATACAAAGTTTTTTTAATGTTTCAGATATATATATATGTTATTGTTACTGGACAATTTTCAGCACTAACTTAAGCCTGGTATAGATTTGTGGTGTCAGTAGAGTTTAGTTAATAATACAGTGAACATTTGTTTTTATTAAAATATTTATGAAATAGTATATAAAGCAACTTAATAAATGTTATGAATGACACCTTTCTTTTGTAAAACCAAGAATTTAATATAATCCTTGATAACCTTTTAAAAAAAGGAATGTTCCACTGTTGCAGTAAAAAAATATTTTAATTAAGTTTAAATTAAATACATGGCATACTAGAGGCACTTTAATAAGGTTTAATTACCTCAGTACATGTGTGTTTTACATGTATAAAGAAACCCCTATTGTTCTTAAACTCGTGCATTACTTATCTAGTGAATTCAAAAGGCCTTGTGATTTAGGTTTTACATGATGTTGTAATTTTCAATGGATGCTATTTGAAATTTATTACTCTCTGACAAGGAGTGATCTTATTAATGAGTGTGCACCAAGCAGGATGTATTACTGTTATAGTTTACCCCTAATCAGGAGAACAATTCATTTCTTACATTTTTTTATTCGTTTTTAAAAAATATATATCCTAAATTATAATAAGAATAGATATATTTCTGATATAAGGTTAAACAATTTTAGTGATTTTGTTGGCTGTTGTTACCTCATTAAAAAGATAGTTATATAACTATTGTATGTAACCAAGAAACCTATGTAGTTTTTATTTAGGAATTTGGGAAAATTAAGTTTTGTTTAAAAAAAAAACACATGCCAAACAAAAAGCACCTTAATTAGGTTTTATTACCCTCAATATCTGTGTGGTTTTCAGGTAAAAGAAAATCATTTTTTTAACAAGACTCAGACTTTAAAATATATAGATAATTTAACTATCTCGATTTGATAAATCTGAGAATTATGTAAGGATGTTTAAATTATATGTATTTTTATTATATTGTGGCTATTGTCATGTCAGTTAAAATGACAGTTATTTTAATAGTTAAAATTTAAAAAAGTAGATGTTGTTTGGTCAAGTATGGTTCAGACTGGTCGAATATTGTTTAGACCTTTGGTCGAGTATGGTTCAGACTGAAAAAATAGGTCGAGAACTGGTCAAGTATTGGTCGAGTACAGGTCGAGAATGGGTTAAGACTGTTTCAGACCGGTCGAGTAATAGTTCAGACTATTTTCAATAGCAAAGATAAGGGTCAAGTTCAAATCAGTACAGTCGAGTATGGTTAAGATTGGGGTCGAGTAATACCAAGTGAAATTCAGATCAATTCAGACTGGTCGAGTAAAAATCAGTACAGTCGAGTACAGATATAGGCCATATCAGACTTTTACAGTTTCAAAGGAGTAGTGATAGTAAGAAGACATTGTTCATTGGAGATAATTCATATAGGGATAAGTATTTAGTTTTGCAGAGTCAATGGTAAAAAAATGAATCACTGTAAATCATGTGTCAAAAATCTCTTCCGTGTGTTGCAAGAGAATATAAAATCCAACTCAAACAGGTGGAGTAAAAAAACATTATCAGATCACAATCGAAAGACCTTTCCCAAGTTTATGGAAATATATAATTACAAGTGTTGATTACAGTCAAAATAAGTTCTTTCGGGCTTTGATTTAAAAAAACCAAAGTCAACACTTAATTATTAGATACACCTTTATCAAAAATATTTAAAGCAGCTAAACCAATGTGTAAAGCAGTAGTAATTTTGATATTCAATGTTACATATATTTCATAGCATTCACTTACTACATGCAAATAAGTAAAAATTGAACTCCAAAGTAGAATTAATCATCACTGGTAAATTATGAAACTAACCTAAAATGTTAAGTGTTAATAGTTAAACTAATTAAACATTAAATGACCTTCTATCGAAAATTCTTCTGACGAAAACAGTGAACAAAGCAAAATATCACCGAATATGCCAATTGAAACATACTGCATTAAAAATTTATAGAAGTAAAGCAAATATTGAAACTTAGGCTTCTATTCACAGTTTCTTTTTATACTTGAATAGACATCAGTCTTTTTTATGTTTTGTATAAAACTATATTCAGCTCATTAAAGAAGTCACAATTTAAAAAACGAAGCCCTTGTCCCTATAGTGTTCTAATAACTATATACAACAACATTTTTTTAATAGATATACCCCCTCAAAATAACTTTTACCCTGACATCAGCACCTTGGTTACAGATATTCCAAAGTTTGATTTTCTTAAGTAGCAGTAATATTATAGCAAATAGATTTTTTGTTACTTTTAAAAGCGAAAAGGTATTGTTCTTTTCTTTTAAATTACATTTGGTTAATTCAGAATACAAAACTTACTAAAACTACTAATAATCATAAACCTCATTTAAATTGAACCATTATACCCTTAAAGAACCCCCACTAGATTTTACTCTTAACTAAATGTATGAAAACTTCAATATATATACATAGCCTATGGTAACATGGCTCTGGATCTGACATATCGTTTAAGTTTGACTTTTTCGAATAAATTTTCTTCATAACAACGGATGTGTAATACATACTAATATCAGTCCATCCAGATTTTGGATAATTTAAAATTGCAAATCAAGATTTTTACAACAAAATTAGAAAGAAATTGATGAAAGAATCTCAGCAGCAAATGTAATGTCAAAGCAGAGTACTAATGAGTTCATTAAGTACAATGTTCTATTTTTAAAAGTATATTATGTATAATAATTTATAAATGTTAATGCAAGACTGTTACACAGTACTAATTTTCATGGAATACTTTGATTATTTTCATTTGGTCACCTAGTATGACGAGTTTTCTTTGCTTTGAATTATATGGCATCCAAGGACATTTCAGTTCTTTCATTCCCTTTGTTGTAACAGTTTTATATTGTTTACCATCAGCAGACACATGTTGTACTGATTCATCCTTACATCCCACATACAGGCTTTCATCTTGTAGTGTAGTGATACCCCTGGGTGGTGAGGGTAATGTAAGAGTGTGATGTCTCTCATCAGTATAACTGTACCAGTACATCGTCTTGTTGTTATTGATGGGGTGATCAAAGTAGAATATTCTGTCACCAGAACCATGTACCCTGAAAGGATGACGGTCAGTCTGTATTGTCTGTACCACCTCTCCTGTCTGATCATCTATGATCTGTAGACAGTTGTCACCACATACAACTAACTTGTTGTTTATAGTTGTAATGTCACTTACACACCTCATTTCAGGTACTGGTATTGATTTAAGTTTGAGTTTACTGTTAATGTCATACATCTCTATACACTCTTTCCAGTCTAGTGTAACAGCTACTGTAGAGTTGTTGAATGCTGTCACATAAAGTGGTTGACCCTGTACATGAATACAGTCTAGTTTTGATCCATCTGTATTACAGATTAGAATTCTGTTCTGGTGAGGTAAACGTATCACCAGTCTACCATCATCCATCATCACTATATCTGGTACAAATCCTCCGATCAAGCTAAACAACCAGTCATGAGCAAGCACTGATGTCAAGTCTGTCTGATGATGTAGTGTAAAGATTGACTGTCCTAGTTTATATGGCTGTATAGGTCCTCCCGGTTTGTCTGAAAAATGCATTGACAAGTAACATGAAAATAACTCAACACATTACATTTGATATGTTTAATACAACTGCCTCTTTCATTCTTTTATAGTGACAGTGATTGAAAAATACTAAATATAGATAATCAAATGAATGTATCAAAAGGAGATTAGGACTCTCAAAATGATAAATGGTAAGATATAGAAACTATCAATGAAATTGTAATGTTTGTTTTGTATAACATACAAATGTATCAAAAAGGGGTAGGGCAATGAAAGCCTAAACATTGTCCTAAACTTGTTTTCGTCTATCTAAACACTAAATAATTTGAAATAAAACATACTTTTTCACTGTTCACTATTTGTTTTAGAAAGCTTCAATGGTATGAACATTTAATTAGTTTATAGCCTGTGTCATATATAATCTACAGCAAAAACTTAACTTATATCTGGCAAAAATGTCAAAATTAAGATACATGTATGCATAATTTAAGTGTACAATTATGATGTCACATTGACATCAATGGCATCATTTCTGACTGAATATAAATGTCATAACTTATTGACTTAGAATTTGATAGATATGCGTACATAATTACATTTTGAAATATTTGTGACAATTACTAAACTTTGAATTTCATATAGCTTTACGGCTAATATTTACCCCATATGTTTATTCCCCAGCAAATTTTGAGTAAACTTCCACTAAATGATTCAAAATTTTGAAAGCTATTAGGGACTGCTGTTGCAGTTTGAATTAAACTGTTTTCACCGTCCGTTGCCTTTTCAGAGTTACGTCCCTTGTTTCAAATATGGATGTCAATTTGGTAAACAATCACTAATCGAGTAATGTTGGTGTTAAAGAGCGATATATCTACAAAATTGGAACACAAATGTTCGCTTTTTACATTTTGTTGGATGTTGCTTAATGTATGTTAAACCCTCTACATTATTATATGGGACACGATAATAGTCTCTTAAGTTATCCACCATGATTAATAGCTCATTTACCAACATAATTGAGTAAACAATAATCCAATCAATAATTTGATAAACAGCTTTAGACTATAAATCATAACCAAGCCAGACAGAATAAACAACAAGTACATTTTGAAATTGTAAAAAAACACATTCGCTTAGGCCAGATGATTAGAAGTGATCGATGTTTTCTCTTGAAAAAATCTATTTTATGAAATAACAATGTCCTTACAAAACAAAAACGAATTAGTTTGGTATCATTTCTGTATTGGGTTGCACTTCTGTAAAAATAGGCAATGCAATTTCCCATAGAAACACCCTTTCTGACTAAACCTTTGTCAATTTCACAATGAAGTTTCGTAAAAAAATATATCCTAGAATGGAAAGTTGATATGCATTACTATTTTATTCAAAGGTCAAAACATAGGGATGTGTGGCATATTTTCAACATTTATATGGCCCGAACTTCTAAGAGTTAAACTTATACTAAAATTCTGTGCTAACCCTTCTTTTACTTTGGGTCTTCCTCAGAATTTAATTTTCGCCGCTACCGTGTGTTTTTATACTGGTAACATTTCCAAGTTATGTCTCTATTAGATGAAACATAGAGATCATATCTTGGAACCAGTACGTAAACACAACAAAATATCTATGAATATTAACATTTCCCAAAAAGAGGCGTGGTTTGTGAAACAGCTGTATTTACAAAGTGCAACATATTTGATACTAGTTACTATCGAGCAAAAGTCAAGTACTAGAGTACTCGATAAATCCCTAGTTTCAAGGCAATTACTCAGAAGTCATCGACCAAATCATTCGATATATAGAAAATTATAAAGGGACCGTTAATCATAGATTTAAAATTAGATTGACCTAGAGTATTTCACTTTTTTCTTTTTATGCCTCTTGATAATCTTGATTAATAGGAAAATAGCTCAATTTTGGTGTCTTCGTGAAAACTTTAGTAACCGTGACAAAATCATTTGAAATTTGATAATTTGTTAGGGTTCACTTGACACAAGTAATGTCAAATTTGACTGATTTGATAATTTATTTTTCAGGAGTTATGACCTTTGACCTTTGAAAATGTCAAAAGTACCTAAATGACCCTTGATAATATGGATATATCTAAACGTATGGTTTCTGAATGACAAATTTGAGTTGCAATGTTATCTAAAGCGACTTATAGAGAAAAGTGTCTTTATAGTTTATTCTATGCATTAGTTGCTCAAAACTAAGCTATAGAGATTTGTGTCTTAATAGAAAAGACTTAAGTCTGAACTTAAGAAATACCCCAAGGAGACACATTCTTTTTCATTTATATAAGTTTGTTTGTTCTTTATGATTTTGATATATCAGCTGACTGAAATTCAAAGTAACAATGACCAGTGGACATTAAGCAAGCAACAATCAATTAATCAATGAAAATATAATGCCATCTTAAAAATACACATATTTATTTGATAAGATTTATGTTTTCTTCCGTATTCAACATTAAGGTTTATATATGTATAATACATTTGAGTTGTAAACAGATTACTTATAATTATTGTCTGCCCTACCTTGGTCATTAATGTTTCTTTTACATCTCTGACAGATCCTATGGTGTAACATCTCCTGAAAACAGAAAATAATATGTTTTTTTTTGTCCTCGATCAACTATTGGAACCATATTGCATTCACATTGTCTGTCAATTCATCTGTTGACTTCATCTATTGTAAGCAGCTGTATCTGTCAAACACCTACTTTCTGCTTTCCAATACTTTGAATAAGGATTAACTGTCTGTTTGGCATGTGCATTTTTGTTTAATGTTTGGATTTGAAAAGAGTGGATTTGTACTGGAATATATCATAAGAATTGCCTTAAATAGGACATTTAGTATGCTTCTCTAAGGAAACTTTTTTAAAGGTAAATATTTGATATGTCCATCCTTCATGTCCTTCATTCAGTCTATCGATCTTTCCTAAAATACTTCGTTCAAAATGGTGACTTCAGTTTCCCTTTCTTGATTGGAATAAAAGTTATACGCATGGAAATTATAAGAAAGAAGCCCATTACATTGGAAAGTAAATAGGTCAAATTTCAAGGTCGCTTATACTAAAAAAAGCAAGATATAGAGAAGGGTCAGTTAGACAAAAAACAAGGCCATAGTTGTTAAGAAAAGCTCTATGTAGCATCAAATTATTCATTGGTTTCTAAATGTAATCTCTTAAACATGTTAAATATGGTTTTAATCATTTAAAGAGTAAACCAGAGCACACCTTCGGCATTGTGGGTCCATGGCTGAATTAAGGTACATACACTTTATCTTTAGCCTGGTTTTTAGTATTCGTATTGCTTTCAAATTCTTTCTGTTTGGACCCGTCCTGGTTTTCTTACTACAACCGGAAACTAAATGTGACATATACTATTGGTATCGATATCCGAATCGGATTCGACCTAGAACCTGTTAATTATTGGTTAGAATAATTATGTGGAAAACAAAAAGGCCTAGAATAATGGAATTTTTAAACAACACCATTGTCCTACAAATAGTCTGCGTACATATGCCCAAAATAACTGTAAAGGAAAAAGGTTTATATCTTAATTATGAGCATTTTTTCAGGAATAAGTCATTACATTTTCAATTTGCTGGTTAGTTTCGTCTTTTTAATTAAATAGGAATATTGATACAATTTCAGTATGATTGACAACTGTCATGATCAAGGAACAATTACACACAATGGAGCAATAATTGGAATTGTATATACCTGAGTAGACCTTTCCTCTTTAATGCCTATCATAATTTACAAAATTACATTTTACTGTAAAACTATTTACTTAATACATAACATGGCAGACCACACATACTCATGCAATCCTTTGCCTCATTAGTATCAGATATATGTTTGATCAGCGTTATTAGATAATGTGTAATTGTACAGGTATAAAACCACTAATTCGGGCTCGGTCAGAAAGACTCACAAGAAAGTAGTACATATTTTAAATAAAATTAATCCTGCGCATAACTGTAACTTTGTCAGTAGGCAAAATATTAAGAAAATGTTGGTACAAATGAAAGCTGAAGAATATGGGATCACTGTTGAACATTTGTTGAAAGTTTCTTTTGAATAATAAAACAAAATATATGAAATTATAATAGGAGGGCACATTTGCCTTGTTGGCTGCCCATGACATGACTGCCACTTTATTTGAACTTGAGATAAAGTATCCATTAATGTTTTAAATCGCATAATTTAACGTAAAAACCAATGGGGCTATGAATTAGTGATTGTATTCCTACAGATGGCTAACATAGGTATTTAATATGCATTTCTTTAAAATGATATACATATAGGAACTATAAACAACTGCAATACAAATGGGATGTTTAGCTAGCTAAACAAATTGTTTTAACCCAGCGTTTTCTTTGGAAAATCCCTGTGTAACAAAGTCATGAATATAGCAGTTGTTTTTCACTTGTTCCGTTGATTGATATCTTTTGATTTTGTCAGATTTTATGGACTTCCCCTTTTAGAATTGCCTGGGTGTTCGGTATTTTTGTTATACCTTTATACATATGATAGATTTAATCCTTTACCCATATATATATATATATATATGAAATATTTACCCTAATTATAACAAAAAATAGGAAAATTGTCTTAAATTTATCTTCTTGGAAAACCTGCTCCTGGTAAACATAAAATCAAATTAAATAGATATCCTTTTTAAAACATTTCTCTTTCTTTCCATTATATGTATGTCATAGAATTTTAAAAAAATTAGTGATCTTTCTGTAAATTAAAACATTAAAAAAACTTGCCAAAACAAATTAGAATTCTTCATCTTTTGACAATAGAATAAAGATTATTAATGTGAAAATAACCCATTGCAACCCTACAACCATGCATTTTCAATGTCATATATATCTTTTGTTTATCAAAACCAATAAGCTACCCTTAGGAGTGAGAACATAAGTACATGTATACATGTTTAAACATAGAAATGCCCCAGCCGAGCCCCAAAAAAACCCAACTATTCACAGGTAAATTTTGGGAAGTAAAAAAAAGGACCTAATTTAAGTCTCTGTGACCATTGGTCACCTGTCTACTGAGAAACTGAAATGATTATTTGTATTAGGTCATTTCTTTTGCTTAAAAAATATGAATACATGCATTTAGATGTAATTAAAAGGAAGTTTATATTCAAATTAAGTGACCTCCGACATTGACCTCTTATGAGCTTCAGTGGATTAAATGCTAATCTTTCAAAAATTCTGTAATAATGTTACTTGTAAATATGCAATAGTGCTATAGCAAGTTGTTCTTGTACTGCACCATCAAAACAATGGAAGAGTGTAATATGATTGAAAATATACACTCAATTCTTCCAATGTTTCCATCAGTGATTTCACAAAATATGTTAGAAATAAAAGTAGAATGTGTCTGAAGACACGAATGTCCCCGCTTATGCTTGCTTATGATATATATGTGAAAATTCTTTTTGAGAGCATTTGATGTCACTGCTAGTTTTTAAAGAGTTTTATTGTTCTAGTTTTAGGTATGTTTATGCTGTGTATTATCTTCATATTGCCACTGTTTTTTGTATTTCTTGTGTAATAAGTTAGTTTCATAAACATGATAAAATATGCAGAGGCAAACTTTTGTTAGAGTGTGGAAACGAAAATATTAGCAATTTTCCAACTTATAAAGGGGCATAACTCTAGAGTGGTTAGTCACTCGCTACCCAAATTCAAACTTTGTCTTTGAGTTATGGTTCTAAGAATTGTGTATAAGTTCTATAAATTTTGGATGCAGAAAACTAAAGGGAGAGTGTAAAAACAAAAATAGGACGGACAGGGGTATCACTCAGTGCCTTTTGCCTAGAAGAGTGGTATTCAAATTTGATGAAATTCTTCAAGTGTGGATATATATATATTCATAGATATATATATATATATATATATATATAATAAAGGTGAAAAAAGTCTTGTTGTGATGATTATAATCTTTATTTGATAGATAATTGAATATTTTTGATAACAGAAAAAAAGATAAAATATCTAAAAATACTGTTTATTTACACAAACCTCTGTCACTGTACCGTAAATTTAATTATACCCCTTCTGTAGGCAATGGGGGCATTACGTGTTACTCTTGCCCGTCTATCCACTTTTCGTGTCCGCACTATAACTGTCGGCGTCCGTTTACTTTTACAAAATGTTTTTCTTTTGAAACTACTGAGCCAAACTTAACCAAACTTAGCCACAGTGGTTATCTAGTTTTAAAATGTGTCCGATGACACTGGCTAAAAGTAGAACATAGGGGTAAAATGCTAGTTTTGTCTTTTATCTTGAAAACCACATTAAATAGAACACATTTGACAGGGGCAGAAATGTCCAGGATGTTGAGATCTACCTGCTGTTTATCTACTTCAAAACTGTTAGACGACTTCTTCATGTAGTAAATGCCCTTAAATGACCACTTTTACCAATTTTATTCTTTTTGACTCACCTGGCCTATAGGCCAAGTAAGCTTTTCTCATCACTTGGCGTCTGTCGTCCATTGTCCGTCGTCTGTCATCATCCTCCGTTAACTTTAACAAAAATCTTCTGTAAAATTACTTGGCCAAATTTAACCAAACTTGGCAACAATCATTATTGGGGTATCCAGTTTTAAAAATGGTTTGGATGATCCCGCTTGTCAAACAAGATGGCTGACATGTCTAAATATAGAACATAAGGATAACATGCAAGTTTTGTCTATTATCTTGAAAACCGATATGAATAGAGAAAATCTGACATGGGCAGAAATGATAAAAACGTTGAGATATACCTTCTGTCTATTTAAGTCAAAACTATCAGATGACTTTTTATAATAACTCCTTATTGAATTAATTGCTCTTTAATGACGATTTTTACCTTTACTTATTTTTTGCTTTTTTGTCTACATCTTAAGAAGGGAGCACACACTGAAATGTCTCGCATTCCTTACTGACCATTGATTTTATGTTGATAGTCCTAAATATAAAGCTTTACTGCAACTATCACATAAACTTAACATGATCCAAGAAAATGAGGTCAAGGTCAAATAAACCAAATTGGAAATACATGTATACCTTACAATCATTTCATACACCAAGTATGCTTTAAATATAGTTTACCTATTGCACATAGTATCTAAGAAACAAACTTAACCAGGAAAATTTAACATTGATCAATAAACCATGAAATTGAGGTCAAGGTCAGATGAGCCCTGCCAGATAGAACTATACACCTTACAACCTTTACATGCTTTAAATATAGTTGACCTTTTGCATACAGTACCTGAGAAACAAACTTACCAAGGAAAACTTAAGATTGATCAATGAACCATGAACATGAGGTCAAGATCTGATAAACCAAACCGGAAATATATGTTCACCTTACAATCATTCAATACACCAAATAAGTTGACCTATTACTTATAGTATCTAAGAAACAATCTTAACCATGAAAACTTATTATTGACCAATGAACCATGAAAATGAGGTCAAGGTCAGATGAAACCTGCCAGACAGACATATACACCTTACAATCATTCCATACAACAAACATATTGATTATAATCTAAGAAAAACAAACCATAAAACAAAAACTTAACACTGACCAATGAACCACGAAAATGAGGTAAAGGTCAAGACTGATATGTACATCGTAAAATATTTCCATTTACAAAATATAATTGACCTATTGTATATAGTATGCCAAAAAAAGACCAAAACACAAAAACTTAAATTTAACCCCTGAACCATGATAATGAGGTCAAGGTCAGATGACACATGCCAGTTGGCCATGTACGCCTTACAATCATTCCATACACCAAATATACTAGACCTATTGCTTATAGTATCTGATATATGGACTTGACCACGAAAACTTAACCTTGTTCACTGATCCATGAAATGAGTTCGAGGTCATATGAAAACTGTCTGACGGGCATGAGGACCTTGCAAGGTGCGCACATACTAAATATAGTTATCCTATTACTCATAATAAGAGAGAAATTAGCATTACAAAAAATCTTAACTTTTTTTCAAGTAGTCACTTAACCATGAAAATGAGGTCAAAGACATTGGAAATATGACAGACGGAAACTTCATAACATAAGGCATCTATATACAAAGTATGAAGCATCCATTTCTTCCACCTTCTAAGATATAAGGCTTTTAAGAAGTTAGACAACGTCGTTGCCGCCGCCGCCGCCGCCAGATCACTATCCCTATGTCGAGCTTTCTGTAACAGAAGTCGCAGGCTCGACAATAAAAACTATAATAGATAAAAAGAAACTGTAAAGAGCCAAAATGACCAACAAGTCAAGATCTACAAATGAGTTGACATAACAAAAACCGTCAGATGACTGTTGATTGGAGTTGTTGCCTTTAAATGAAGACTTTTCCAAGTTTTGTGCTTTAAAAAAAACTACAGTAGACATGATAGATATATAGTTACTTTATATAGCAAAAATGATCAGCAAGACAAGATCTACAAATACGTTTAGACGGCCAAAATTATCAGACGACTCCTTATTAGATTTTTTTTTCTCACTTTATTGATGATTTTTATCATATTGTTTTGCGTTGTCGTCGAATATCTTAAAAACTGAAACAGATGGATATAAATTTTAAACATTACTAATGATCAGCTTCACACGATCTATAAATGAAACGGCTCCTTTTGGAGTAATTGCTCATTAATAAAAAAATTTAACCGATGTTTAATGTTTTTGGCAATTTCTTGGAAAATATACTATAGATAGATAGACGCTTTAAAAAGCAAATATAATCAGCAAGACAAGATCTACAAATAAATCAACAGATCAGAATTGTCAGTAGACTCCTAATTGAAGTTCTAGTTCTTTCATAAAGATTTTTACCAATTGTCGCTTTTTGGCCTATTATCTTGAAAACTATAAAAGAAAGAAAGACTCTTTAAATAGTAAAAATGATGATTTTGTTTATAAAAGATAGAAAGACTCTTTAAATAGTAAAAATGACTGATCATTGATCAGTATGAAAAAAGTATAGAAGTGATTGCCCTTAAACGATTGGTTTTTATACCCTTATTTTGTTTTGGATAAAAACTAAAATAGATCGATATAAATTGTAAACAGTAAAAGTGATCAGCAATAAAAGATCACAAACAAGAGTTTTGTGTCATGCACTCTATGCTATTCCACATTTTTTTAAGAGTGTCCATTGTTCAAGATGCACATATACCTAGGTGAGCGACACAGGTCTTTAGAGTCTCTAGTTTGATAAGATCAACGAGAAAGAGAATTAAGTCATGAATGATATTCTGGTCTTAAATGGTGGAGAGTGGCCATTGTCGAAAACGCACATTGATCCAGATGAACAACACAGGCTCTTTCGAGTCTCTAGTTGCCTATTTTTTACTTGTATGAGTCATTGGCAAAAGCAGGCCCGAGAACACAGTTATTTCGTAGTGCATTTCTTTTAGACAATAAATTCAAATTAAAAAAATCGCACCTGCTCTATCTCAAAAAGATTTTTACAGTGTAGTGTACTACTATTGATACAAATAATATCAAAATTATAGAAACTTCTACCAGCTCTAACTCAAAATATTGACAATTCTGTGTTAAGGGGGGCTAAAATTCAGTTTGACAGCTTCAGACATTCTAATTTTTGACCTTTTTTAACTGGACCAAATCACTACTTAACATAAAGATTCAGCACCCAAATTTTTTTAACATGTAATTTCATCCCCTTACTCAATATTTCATGCATAAAATATCAAGAAATAAATTGGAAAAGTGTATAAAAAAAAAGGCAAGTTATACACTGTTCACACTAGGGACTATATTTGTAGACAACAAAAACCAAAGGACGATAACTGTGTCCTTGAACCTAATAGGATAGAAAGACTTGACCAATTTTAATAAAACTTAGCATGACCTAAGTTTAGGCAATTATAAGATAGTTGGCCAAGTTTCATAGCCATAGGATATATATTATAGAAACTAGGGCCATTTTAATATTGAAATTTGGATGTTTATTTTTGACGTTTAAATCAAATATTTTCAGCTGTCAAGATTTTGGCCTAAAAAATTTAAATATTGCAAAAATTTGCTTTTTAAATACTCTTGAATTTAATAAAATAAGTATTAAAAGCAACGGAACACTCATTTGATTTATCAGATTTATTACAGTTATTCAAAAGTCAAATTTATATGAGCCTGTGCCTGAAAATAGAGATTTTCGAATTAAGGGAAGCCTTACATAAACATGCATTTTTTTCAACCAATTTGAAGTTTTTGAAGTTTTCTAACCATGCAATATTCTTCCATATATATTAAATGTACTTTGAATATTAAGAAAAGTTACAAAAAGCATACCACATGAGTATAAAATGGTCTTAGGCCATGTAAGACTGAGAATTATTTAGAGTCGATTTAGGCCGTAGCCCATATTTACATATAAAAATGCACACAGAGGCTATAAGAAATAAAAATTTGTTACTTTTTGCTCATTTCTATGCTAAGATGTCATGATACAAGAAGTCTAATTGCAAAAGGACTCTTGAATTCAACTTTTTTTTGCAGACAGTATGGTCTGATGACCAGTTTTTCACTTTTCAATGGAAAACTTGCATGTAGTTTTAGTCTCATTTGGCATATATTTGAACCACTTACTATCCTAAAGAAGAAAATTATGGTAGCATATGAAATGAATAGGGTGTACTGATCATTGTAAAGTGTTTTTTTTACAGATTTAGTGAAATATTTGCGATGGACTACAGATTTTATGTACAAAGCTCTTCACATTTCACATACATCAAACAGGCCGTTTAACCAGGGACATAAATACAAATATTCTGCACATTTTTTCTGTGATAATCTACTTTTCTCTAGATTCCGAGTTCACAAATGGTTAATTAAATTTGATTTAAGCATAGGAACACAAATATCAGGAACATAAAAAGCTTTCAGATAGAAAGTCAGCATGGCTCTTAGGCATAAAATGGAAACTGCTTTAAAATGCTTATTTTAGCCGTATAATGCCAAAATGGGACATTTTAACAGAATTTCTGTCAAACAAAGATGTAAATCCTTTACTTTTATTGAGTTTGACAAATTGAAACCAGCAAACCATTCAGGAAAGTTGCCAAAGCACAGAATCTACATTTACAGAATTCATCTCTTAGGCCCGAGAACACAGTTATTTCGTAGTGCATTTCTTTTAGACAATAAATTCAAATTAAAAAAATCGCACCTGCTCTATCTCAAAAAGATTTTTACAGTGTAGTGTACTACTATTGATACAAATAATATCAAAATTATAGAAACTTCTTCCAGCTCTAACTCAAAATATGACAATTCTGTGTTAAGGGGGCTAAAATTCAGTTTGACAGCTTCAGACATTCTAATTTTTGACCTTTTTTAACTGGACCAAATCACTACTTAACATAAAGATTCAGCACCCAAATTTTTTTAACATGTAATTTCATCCCCTTACTCAATATTTCATGCATAAAATATCAAGAAATAAATTGGGAAAGTGTATCCAAAAAAAGGCAAGTTATACACTGTTCACACTAGGGACTATATTTGTAGACAACGAAAACCAAAGGACGATAACTGTGTCCTTGGACCAGCATGTTAAGTAGTTATAACCGCAGGTTTATATTGCTATTAAAAGTTCCAAACCTCCACGGCTAACAGAGAAGCGAAGCTGACCCACACAAAATGTTATTTTTTGCCGATTTCAGTTTTCACAGTTCTCAGTTGGGTTCAAACTAAAAACAAATTAAATCTGAAGAACATGACAGACAATATACTTAATTTGAAGTAAAATGCCTAAGTGTTGAAAGCTCTATCAGCTAACCTCCAAAATTGTAGAGATCCATTAGTGCAAAAAAGCAGATTCGGGTTAGAGGCTGAAATATATTGCCTAAATCACATGGTGAGGTTATATAAGATTGGCTCAATTTTATCATAAGCAGTCACCCAAATCTGATTGAAATCATCTTTACTTTTGCTTCGTTAGATTTGTTTATCACTAATATTACAATGTATTATCTAATACGGTCATGTTCACTGACCATTTACAATCAATGAGACATTTCCTTATCAAAAACATTGTTGGGCTAACTATGAAATATTGTCAGAAAAATGTCCTTACTATTTAATTTCTTGACATTGTTCTAATTAAATGCACCTACCTGATTGTAATAAAACTTAAGTTTTAATTATACTCTTTCATTTCTTATGGCCGGCCGACAATAGTAGAGAGACATTATGTTTTCTGTTCTTGCTGTATGTCTGTCTGTCTCATATCAGGTTAACATTTCGATTTTAGGTTGTTTGCCGTCACAATAACTTAACACTTAGTACACATGTTCATTATGAAGTGAATTATTTAATATATAATAGGCAGATCAGGGTTTTGACTCGGATTTCTCTGGACATGAAAATGTGTGGAATGAAATGCACCTTGTCAAAGCAAACTCACTCTCACAGTGTTGACACACTAGTTACTACTGTGATGAAGTAATAGGACCACTCACCCAACAAGGTACGTTATTAATACAGAATCATACCTCTATTTTAGCCATCAACATAACAGTATTGATACCCATTGTAGCCAGTAATTCAGCAGTACTATTGCCAATTTTTGTCCATATTTCAGCAGCTGTTGCATCCATTTTTGTTTCAATCTAAAAAAAAATAAAATGGACAGCTTAGAAATTTCATATAACACATAGCATTCTCTGTCTTTATTTGCATTTTACTTTTATAACATATATAAGTCATACATTCATTACTTTTACAAATTGTGACTTGGATGGAGAGTTGTCTCATTGGCATTCATACCACGTCTTCTTATATCTGGTAAATAAAATTCTCATATGTTAATTTCCATCTTTAGAACTACGACACCAGTAAACGCAAAATGTTTCAGGAATGTTCCTTGTGTAGTAATTATTGAGAGTAAATTTCTATACTGCTGATCGGTCAATATATATGGCCTGTAACTAGTTTTACATCTACGTTAATTCTATCAAACTCATATTTGCAAGTCATAATGCATCCTTATATTTAATTGACTTGTGAGTACTCTGAGATTTTTATTTTGTGTTTTTTTGTTGTTGTGAGGGATGTACAAATTCCCTGCCTCGTCCAGTCTGTGTTTTGTTTTTATCAGACGTTTTCTGCGTTGGATCGATCTGATGAGTTAAGCCCTTTTCAACTGATTTTTATAGTTTGTTATTATGTTGTACTTTTACACCACTTTCCCAGGTTAGGGGGGTTTTGTGCCATCAACCATGTTTAAACCCGCCATATTCTATATGTGCCTGCTCCAAGTCAGTAGCCTGTAGCTCAGCGGTTGTCTTTGGTTCATGTTTGTCATATTTATTTTTTGTAAACTGTTTTGTTATGAATTAGGCCATTAGTAATCTCAATTGAATTATTTTATATTTTTCACGTCAGAGCCTTTTATAGCTAACTATACGGTATGAGTTTTGTAATTGTTGAAGGCCGTACGATTGCCTATAATTGCTTGCATCCACTTCATGTGAACTTTGGTAGATAGTTGTCTTCTTTGAATCATACCCGTCTGCTTATGTTTATATTTATTAAAAATATATGTAAGGGAACTGATTTGATGTCAATATTATGTGAAAGTCTTTTTATGAATAAATACTTATATAATGCTTTAAAATAAGAAAAAATAAGACCTTTTTTATGACATTTTAAAAACTATACAAATCAAATTCAAAAGAGCTTTTTAACAGTAACAGCAACATGCATTACATACACAAATTGTCATTTATATGTGAAAGACTTCGTTTAACATGTCTCAGCAAATTTAAAGTGTGATAAAGTGTACCTACTTAAAGATTAGGAATAAGCACTACGAATACTTAGAATATAGGTAAAAATAAATATGATAAGAACTTGATATTTATAAACAAAGAAAATACATACCTTCTCAAGTATTACATGTACATCAAGAAGACATGTTACATATTTTTCACACAGAGAGCTGTCCAATGGTCTGTTTTGTATTATAACAAGGTCATTTTGTTTACTTGGGTCCAGTTTTAGTACATATGTTGTCAAGTCTGTCCAGAGTGTGTTGTATTCAGTCTCAGATATGGCACCATGTGTGTTGTGGCTGAGATAGTTGTTCTTGAATTCACGGAGGTGAGAAATCAGCGTACCTTCATTTGATGACAGGTTACAGCAACTCAGTAAAATCAAAGTTAACAAAGTGAGGTCAAGATCATTCAAGGAAATAGGGTTGGCTGTGTATTTGCAATGACAGTTATGTTTCTTTGATCCTGCAGTGTAAATCAGATTCCACTGGCTATAGTTCAGAGGAAGGGATTGCTGGTTTACACAATTAGTTTTATTAACACAGCATGTGCTATTTTTGTGACGCAAATGAAATAGGATATGTTTGACAGGAAGACTGTTGGTGAAATCTTGCAAACAGCCAAATCCTTTACTTTTGTAGTTGTCTTCTAGCCTCTTTCTTAGAAGGGGAGAAACAATTTCAAGTATAACTGATCCAACAACAAGGTACCTTCTCTTGTCCCCACTATCCATTTTTCTGTAAACAGTATTGAATGATTTAAGGATAAATAGGATTACATAATTTATATACAATTACAGATACTAGAGGTTTTCAGGTAAAATGTCATTCTAGAACTGAATAAAACTACAAGACGCAAACTTTATATTTAATTTGTCTGACCATCTACCCTTGTTACTTAATTTTTCTTTAATCTTGATCATCAAAATCTTGATCTTGTAATTAAGTAATGCAAAAACTGCCTAATTTGACAGAATGTATTTATTAATGAGTTTGTGATGTTCCAAGTTAATGGTCAATAACATGTGAAATAAACAGACTTTTCTAAAAAACCGCTTTCGATATCAACACATGTGGTTTACAACTTTAATATAATTGTGCAAAAGTAATTTTTATCAACACTAATATCTTTGAAAATGATTAAAATAATGTAAATTCAGAAATTATTGTATGCATTTATTATTAAGATTTGTGAAGAGTGGACCATAATGCAAGATCGATTATTGCGATTCCAGAAAAATCCACAAAATATAAAAAAGTATATTGGTTTTGCATGTGTATTCACTTTTGACCGAGATGTTTATGCATTGGTCCCTGTATTAATTTGTTTCAATAACTCTAACTTTGTGGCCAAGGAATTGAGTCTTATACATGTTTATCATTATGTTATTCTGGAAACAAACTTTTTGGTTAGTTCTTGATAGTTTTACGTGGCCCTTAGTTGAAACTATTACCAAAAACCAATATGCTGTTTTATAGTTCATCCTTTTTTCTAAATCTCCTCCTCTGAAGTGTTGTGTAAATTGGAACCAAACTTGGCCACAAACGTTTTAGAGTATTTAGTTCAACAGTTCTGTCTGATAATTTGGAGGCCAATCAACATGGTCCAAATGGCTAAAAATGGGCATCAGGGTAACATGCAAGTCATTGTACTCTATCTTGAAAAGTTGTCCCAAACATTAGAAAAAAACATATTATATATTTTTGCGAGGACGTAAAGCACCATTATTTTCAAATTGGAACGAAGTTTCTACTCTTTAAACTGCCTTGGTGGTCTCGTGGTAGCATGCTTGCCTCGGGTGCGGGATGTCTTGTGTTCAATCTGGAATCAGGAAAATCTTAATTCAGTGGAGCATTTTGTGTATAGAGGACTTGTAAAAACAACTCATATGGATATTATTGCATGTAAAGGGCTTCTTTTTTCCTCATTCCCTTTTATTTTACAAATTAAATTTGTTCAATTTACAAGTTAGGATGTTGCTTTCAGTTATCATGACGTGAAAACATGTGGGGGCATAAATATGAGTAGCAGCTGAGCTTCTGAACTATTTTTTTTCTATATAGTGTGCAAAACAACATGATTTAATTGATATTTGTACCTAAGGGATGTTTTAATTGATATATGTACCTAAGGGATGTACGGTTTCTCATTTATTTCTTTTTGTACTATAATTAGACCTTTTCAACAATTGTCTACATCTACAGTTGAGAACGACTACGACAGGTGAGATATGAAGGGTCGTCTCAAAAATGAAATTTAAAAAAATATTATTGATCGCATATGATTATTTAGATTGCTACTGAGAACTATTCAACATGACGTGTATAAAAGCATTTGATGTGTACCTACCTTATTTTGTTTATAAAGTATTTGCTTATCAAAATTAAACTTATTTGTGAATTGACGATGAAGAAAAGGAAGGACTTCAATGTTTCATTTCTTTTAGACGTCGAGTTGGAAAATGAAAAAAAAAACAAAAAAAAACCCAAACAAACACACAAAAAACAAACCTGTATTTTCTAGTAGATGTTTAATTAATCATTGTTTTATATCTGTCGACTAGGGCAGTATATGTTTTTACAATGTCTGTTAATTTTGGCTTCGGATGCCTCAATGTACTCATTACTTTAAATGATTCCTTTTAAATTCATCAATTTAATATTCAACTTGAAATCGATATTGAGCGACAATGCAGTTTAAATTTCGTCTCTTTCTCTTTAAATTATCCGGTTTACTGTGCCATCGCTAGACCTGCTCCCGGCCGGCAACCAGATGCCGTAGCTGCCCAGAGATAGAGGAGGAAGCTGTATATTGCCTCGCCCTAAGGAACCTCATTCGCGAGAATCAGCTGGAGTACAATAAATTCACAACAAAATAGATACCAAGATTTTGAAAGGCACTTGGTATTTCTTCTGATTCAGATTCAGATTCAAATCGTATTTTTTTCCCCCTTTTCTTGCTATATTTATGACTTCCGCAGTAGGAAATAAAATCACACAATGCAACATATAAAACAGATATTCAGATTGACTCATGGTCTGTATTTTGGTTAAAGACCCCCATCCCTAACCCCAAAAGAGGGGAAAAGGAAAAAAAGTTACTATCTTTAATTGAATAAACAGGAAATAAATATGAGAGCGAAGCATAATGTCAAAATATTAAATTGTAAACTAAAAATTCTATCGAGACAAAAATATCAATTGTAATGACCTACTTGTTCAGGAATTGTTTCATGCGTATTAAACATGCGGCGGGGTTTAACTAGTATAAATGGATTTAAAGCTCCCCTATATATGGTCAGAGATTAAATTTATAAAACCATCATGCATGGGAAAAAAGAATAAAAGAGTAGAAAACCAAAGCTATTCCCTAAAAAGGGGCAGGTTAAGAGTTTTTGCTTCTTACAAGACCCACGAAGGTCATTTTTCGGGAACAGGGAAAGTAATCTCCGACAAAGGGACAAGTTATGTTGTCTTTCGGGACACGGACGATCTATAACGGTCAATCAGTCCAAAAAGACACTGCAATGACAACAAGCTCTGTTGAGATATAAATATCATACGCATTACTGAAGAGACAATACTTGTCAATTTGAGCATGTGGCGCGGACGTGAAAAAATGGTGCCGTTGATGTTTCCAGTTCATTAAGGAAACACATCATCTTTAATATGATATCTTGAAGCGGGGTAGTCCCTCGTAACTCAATTATCGATGTAGCCTTTTCCGTTGACCTATAAACCAATGAGCGTTTACCTCTCCCAAAATTGAATGTGTACAACAAGTGACGTGAAGACTGGTTGAGAAACACAAACTCTAGCGGACGGACCGACAGTCCTGTTACAACATAAACATAAGGAGGTGTGGTATGATTGCCAATGAGACAACTATCCACCAAAGTTGTAATGAAGTGAATTTAAGCAATTATAGGCAACCGTACGGCCTTCAACAATGAGAAAAACACATACCGTATAATCGACTATAAAAGGCCCGGACATGAAAAAAATGAAAGAATCCAATTGAGAAAACCAACGGCCTAATCTATAACAAAACAATTTAAGAAAAACAAATATGACAGACATGAACCAACGACAACTACTGAACTGCAGGCTCCTGACTTGTGACAAGCAAATAAAGAATGTGGCAGGGTTAAAGATTTTTGTGAGCGCTCAACCCTCCCCTAACCTGGAACAATGGTTTATCAGCACAACATAAGAACCAACTATAAATATGTTCCTTCCGCAAATTTTATAAATAGCATTATAAAAACGAATTTATCGATATTGGAACAATCTGCGTTGACAGACACGCTTATCTAAGGGAAGGACCATTTTACTTCAAAAGGGTGGGTTGTGGTTTTTTCCTAACAAAATATTCTGATCCCCAATTTGATAAAAAAAAAATTTGTGGTCTAGCAGATGAAAAAAAAAATTATTTTGAATCCAGATTTTCCTCATACGTTATAGTGTTAAATTTTGAAAAAGAAAAAATTTGATTGATAGCATCGAAAAACTAAAAATGAAATCTGACTCAGACAAAAAAACCATACCCCCCCCCCCCTCCCTTAAAGTTAAATGGTTGCTCCCTAAATACTCACATAAAATTTAACAAGAAAAAAACTCAAAAAGGCAGATGACAATGTGAAATGATTGCAGTAATTATTTCCTTGAATGTTTAATAAATTCAACGTAAAATGTTGTATAAATACATTTTATTATAATATTAAACAAAAGAGAATGGTATAATTCATATTTGTTTGAAATATGTTCTTTCCTCAAAAAAATGCAACATCGATTTTTTTAATTTTGAGACGACCCCTTCATTTTACCTGTAAACTGCAGGAGTCATTAGTCGGTGTCGAGAGTTGTTGAAAAAGTCTATTTCATTATCCCAGAAATAGAAAAACTAGAGGCTCTAAAGAGCCTGTGTCGCTCACCTTGGTCTATGTGCATATTAAACAAAGGACACAGATGGATTCATGACAAAATTGTGTTTTAGTGATGGTGATCTGTTTGTAGATCTTACTTTACTAAACATTCTTGCTGCTTACAATTATCTCTATCTATAATGAACTTGGCCCAGTAGTTACAGTGGAAAATATTTTGTAAAAATTTACAAAAATTTACAAAATTTATGAAAATTGTAAATAATTGACTATAAAGGGCAATAACTCCTTAAGGGGTCAATTGACAATTTTGGTCATGTTGACTTATTTGTAGATCTTACTTTGCTGTACATTATTGCTGTTTATCTCTATCTATAATAATATTCAAGATAATAACCAAAAGCTGCAAAATATTTTTAAAATTACCAATTCAGGGGCAGCAACCCAACAACGTGTTGCTTGATTGGTCTGAAAATTTCAGGGCAGATAGATCTTGACCTAATGAACAATTTTATCCTTGTCAGATTTGCTCTAAATGCTTTGGTTTCAGAGATATGAGCCAAAAACTGCATTTTACCCTATGTACTATTTTTTAGCCATGTCGGCCATCTTGGTTCGCGGGCGGGGTCATCGGACACATTTTTTAAACTAGATACCCTAATGATGATTGTGGACAAGTTTGGTCAAATTTGTCTTAGTAGTTTCAGAGGAGAAGATTTTTGTAAAAGATTACAAAAATTTACGAAAAATGGTTAAAAATTGATTATAAAGGGCAATAACTCCTTAAGGGGTCAACTGACCACTTTGGTCAAGTTGACTTATTTGTAGATCTTACTTTGCTGAACATTATTGCTGTTTACAGTTTATTTCTATCTATAATAATATTCAAGATAATAACTAAAACGGCAAAATTTCCTTAAAATTACCAATTCAGGGGCAGCAACCCAACAACGGGTTGTCCGATTCATCTGAAAATTTCAGGGCAGATAGTTCTTGACCTGATAAACAATTTTATTCCGTCAGATTTGCTCTAAATGCTTTGGTTTCAGAGATATAAGCCAAAATCTACATTTTACCCCTATGTTCTATTTTTAGCCATGGCGGCCATCTTGGTTAGTTTGCCGGGTCACCGGACACATTTTTTAAACTAGATACCCTAATAATGATTGTGGCCAAGTTTGGTTTAATTTGGCCCAGTAGTTTCAGAGGAGAAGATTTTTGTAAAAGTTAACGACGACGGACGATGACGGACAACGACGGACGACGACGACGACGGACGACGGACGCCAAGTGATGAGAAAAGCTCACTTGGCCCTTTAGGCCAGGGGGCCAGGTGAGCTAAAAATGGGTTTATCTTAAAAGGTAGGAAAGGAGGATGTTTCAGCAGATGTATGAACTAATAAACAATCACTACTTTCATTTTAAATAAGGTTTAACAATAACTGAATTCATATTAAATACGATTTAACAATAACATCATTCATTTTAATAAGTATTAACAGTCATTTAACATTTTTGAAAAATTAAAAAGAAAAAATAAGAAACAAGTTGTAATTCTACAAATCTTTACCTTATTTCATTTTCAATTAGTAAATATTTTGTAGATATAAGAAACAAAACCAATTTTGCTTTCAGTGGAAATCCATATTACTATGGAATACCCTTTGCTATTTTAAAACATGAATCACATGATATACTGTAAAACGATATCTTGTTATTGATTTTCTTACAGTAGATTATGCACAAGTTTTGTCAAATGGGGTCCAATAAGGGCTTTTTAGGGGCAATATGTTCACAATGATGATGTAGGAAATAATATATACAGTAAGATTGGAAACATACAAAGGGTATATAAAATACACATGTGTTTATACCAGCGTTTTAATTAACTTGTCAACACGAATAGATAAATAATTATTAGATATATCCTCTAAATGGTCTAAATACATCTATACGTGAAACAATAAGATGCATTTAGTAGTTATTCTAATGCTTGGTAACCAGCAAATATACAAATATCATGGCAAAAAGAATATTATTGATATACAATGTATAAAGTTATACCTTTTCAATAAGATATTCAATCCCACAACACATAAGTTAGGTCATGGAAGTAATATACTTCCATGGCTAGGTATTCTAAAACATGGGTCAACTAGCATTAAAGAATGAAATATATCAGGCCAATTTCCCCGTATTTATTTTTCATCCAAGGGTGAAAACATTTTGAAAATTGTTAATCCTACTGGGATTTGAAATTTATAGAGTCTTATGTCAATATTCGCAGACAAATAATAAACAATTTTCCATATTCTAATTAGGAAAAAAATCCGATTTGTTCAAACAAATAAAACACAAGCTCTTCAAAAAATACACATCAACAATAAATACTGTGGAAAATTAGAAACAGCTCTCAAGAGCCGTATTGTAACAATAAAAACATACACATCAACAATAAATGCCATGCAAAGTTAGGAGCAAGAACAAGATGACAGGCATATTTAGTATAAAAATTTGTCTATGATAAAGACCTTAGTGCATAAACATTTGACAGGTATTCAAAAACAATAAAAAAAAAAACCCAACTAAATTGAATATTCTACCTTCAACCATATGCAAATTTGCAGGGATTCCCATTCAATGTTATTTATTATTTTTAATTGATTACATGATAAGGTATGTATGCCAATCTGATGCTAGTCTAGCACCAATTACTATTAAAGGCATGTTCCTGAAAAGAGTTATAATTAAAAGGGAATTTGTTTAGTAAGTGTGGTCATGTTTACTTTGGTTTTATAAAAGATTTATATAACTTACCTCAAAGGTTGAAAATGATGGATAGCTATGTACTGTAGAAATGTAAAAGGTGTGGTACATAGACTTGCAAGTACTCAAATGCCTACATTGTAATAAGATATCAATTAAGACCTGTCAAACATGAGTACAAACATGTATATGTTGAATTAATAACTTCGTACAATCTTGCAGGTTGGTGGTAAAAGTAACCCAATGATGCAGAGTACATTCTTATAGAATTATCCAATATAGTGTCAACGGAGAAGAGGTCACCATGGGCTCAAAACATAGAGATTTTCATTACTATGACATGATGGTTGGGAAAGATGGAAAGTGAATCTCCATTAAAGGTAAGGTTATATTAATTGACCAGTAGAAATGAATCAGAAGTTTTCAATTAATCTTAATCTTATTTTTCACAATGTTTTGATAGCTCAACTTGAAACAGTTTTAAGAAAGAAATATATACTTAGAAAGTATATCTATATATCAGTATGAATAAGGTTTAATTGTTTTAAGAATTGAAAGCATTGTTCAAATTGTTATGATTGCTTAACTTATAAAAAAAAATCCAATTCTCCTTATCTGTTAACATTTGATCTTACTATAACACTGTTAAATGAATATTAAGGCAGAACTACAACAACATGAACAATACTACAACTACCAAATGATTACCCAAATCAAACCAAAGAATCTCAAAGGAGTTCATATATATCATAAGCTCATCAGTCACTGCTTATGTATTGTCATGATTAATAACAAACTTTTCTTATATTCTCTGTTGATATAATTCAGATATATTTAAGAAACACAGGTTTTACTGACTCAGAGGAAGTTTGCCTTAAATGACTTTGTGTATTCTTTTTATGTCTGTTTTTGGTAACACGATACCGAATGGCATATCTCCCGATTTCTAAACTTTTTGGCACACTTGTACTTTGAATCGAGTTACATCGGAATATGAAATAAAAAATGGGGGTCACCATTTTTTTTTTATATAAGAAAACGTCAATTTTGGCGACAAATTTATAAAAATGTATAGGGAACATGTCTTATTTTTAACTCATTGTTTGTTAGATTTTTCAATGGATGGATATGTTCTGATATATGGAGAAAGACGTAACACTTACATAATATCCCGGATTGTATACTGAATCCATGCATAGACAATCATACCACATCTTCTTTTTTATATATATAGAAAAACTCTTATAAACACCATAAGATGGTGTCAATGGAATGTTTATATATCTTGTACGATTCCCTCGTGTATGTAGCAATGCATTTGATTTTAACGAAAGAAATCTCTGTTTTACTGCAAAATTATTACTCAAAGGTTTTCGATATCACAAACCTGTCAAAACATTTACTAAATTTTATCTTCGGTACAAGGACATCATTCGTAAATATAAATCAACGTGCAGAAATCTTATACGTTCAGGTATTTCACATCCCATATTTTATGGTAATATTCTATACAAAGCAAAAGCATGTCGTCATTCACCCCAAAAGATAACCAAACCTTCAAACAGACATATTCAGAAGGAATATAGTTACGATACTGTTGTAAAGTCATTAAAGATGGCATTTTTTTAAATCAATATTTATTCACTCATAGGGTCTTTGCGTCGGAAACAAACACATTTATTCTAAAACCAGTTATTGGCATGATACTGGTTATGTTCTTCTCGTATATTCTATGATGGTATGATACTAAACCCCTTACGGGAGGGATTATGCATGATTTTCATAAGATGAAGACATAATTGTTTAATTGAGGCCTGGAGCTTGCATGCCAGTAATTGTTAGTAGTCCTTTGTTAATTTATATACATCATAATAGTCATTTTGCTAATTTTTTTCTGTTACATTATCTGACATCGGGCTCCAACTTCTTTTAAACTGAGTTTGACTGTACGTATTGATGTGTGTTTTTTTTTTAATTTCATATTGGCTACAGGTATAGAGGGAGGGTTGAGATCTCACAAAACATGTTTAACCCCGCCGCATTTTTGCGCCTGTCCCAAGTCAGGAACTTCCGGCCTTTGTTAATCTTGTATGTTTTTTTTTTAAATTGTGGTTCATTTATATGTTTCGCAGTTTAGTTTGACGTCCATTTTCGCTGACCTAGTATACATACATCAAGGGGCCAACTGAAGCCCGCTCTGGGTGCGGAATTTTCTTGCTGTATTGAAGACCCATTGGTGGACTCCGGCTGTTTTCTGCTCTTTGGTCGGGTTGTTGTCTCTTTGACATATTCCCCGTTTCTACTCTCAATTTTATAATGGAGGAACTGTACATGGTAAAGAGTAACTACATTTTAATTGAATTATTATATCTCCTGTTGAAATAAAAAGTGTTTGATGGTATATATTAATTATATTAATTACTCTACCTATCAGTGTCTGCAAAAAGTGTATGGTTCAAGGGTCATGTGTTGCTAGATGATTGATGTCAACTGGGATATGAAAAATCTCTATCTACTTCTTTTTATTGTTTACTTAATAGTTACTGTAAATTAATGTGTTTTATTGTTATACTGTAAGTGTTTCTTTGTTTCAGGTAAATTTTTGTCATATTCAGCCGATTCTAAATTAGGCACTGCTAGATTTTAATGACATTGGCATCAATTTGTTGTAGCTGCATCTTCATATTGAATTTTTATACAGAATATATTTTTCATTATAGAGTGAAGCACTACAGCAATTGCTAGGTATATCTATAGAAGTACAATTGACATGGCGGTCATCTTTAGGAAAATAAAGAAAGGTGAACATCAAAAAAGGCTAGACCAAACATATACTGTATTGTATAAGCTTGCTTCAAATGTCATTTGATATTATAGAAAACAGAAATGCAGTTTTGTCACCATAAAGAAGTGAACTTCAGGAATTTTATGTTGATAGACATTCATAAACATTTCAAGAATGATAAAAGAATTAGCAGTGTTTTATTTCTGGTACATGTATTATCTGATAATCAGTGACTTGGTATAACTTATCAAGTATGTAGTGTTACGCATGTTACAAGAGAACACTTAAACACTAAATAGTATAAGTATTAAATAGTTTATATTGTATGATTATACTTTTATTGACTTTTAAATTTGTAACATCAATTGAAATACAAGCTGTCTGTGTATGTGTCACAATATTTTACAAATCTAAATTATAATAACAAATATCCAACTGACTTGTATCCAAATAGATAAATCCTTCACATTGTATCTTTTGAATACAGGATTCCAACGATACTTTACATCATCATTGAAACTATGGCTTAGTATAGCATGATTATAATAGAATGTCCACTTTATAAATTTCAAGGTTTCACAGATATTGTTTATACACTGACGGTTTTGGTTGATAGAAGCCAGTTCTTGACAGTTGTATTAAGCACTACCAGGATCATTTTTGCCTCTACTGCAACTAGAGTCATATAGACAAGACTTAGCAATACTCTTGACAGTTGTATTCAGCACTACTATTCTGTCAAAGCATCAACATTTAGATACAGTGCATTGTAGATAGTAAAGTTTGTTTTGAAACATCAATACCTTTGTCAAAACTACATATTTTTCAAATCTTAAACTTAAGCTTCATCATTATCAAGCGACGTCCCCAAGGTCAAATTGTTAAGTTTATTTTTGTCCTATTTCATGGAAAAATAGACTTATACTTTTTGCGTTTAATATTTAAATTCAGTCTGGTATAAAAGTTTATTAGACATTAATAACTTTGTCAAACCTTCATGGAAATTTAACATAATTTTGAAGGAAGTTCCTTTTGGATTAAGAGATAGCTTCTGAAGCAAATTTTGAAAATATCCTTTTAAGATTTTTCATGAAAAAAGTTCAC